TACATTTCACTGGGTCTCAGTAGAGAGAAGCTTAACATGCCATTTTGAGAGTGTGTGTGTGTGTGTGATGTGGGGGGTCACTCCCCAACGGCTGTCTTGCTCAATACAGACACACCTTAAGAGGTATCACGGGTACAGCTGCAGACCACTACCATCAAAAGCGAATACTGCAATAAAGCTAATCACACAAAGTTCTGGTTTTCCAGAGCATATGAAAGTTATGTTTATACTATAAATAGTCTATTAAGTGCACCAGGGCTTCCCAGGTGGCATTAGTAGTAAAGAACCCACCAGCCAATGCAGGAGAGGTAAAAGCCACGGGTTCAATCCCTGGGTCGGGAAGATCCCCGAGAGGAGAGTGTGACAACCCACACCAGCGTTCTTGCCTGGAGAAGCCCATGGACAGAGGAGCCTGGGGCTACAGTTCATGGGGTTGCACACAGCTGGACACGACTGAAGTGACTTAGTGCACACACTCATGCAAGTGTACAATAACTTTATGCCTAAAAAATATACACACCTTAATTTAGATGACTTACTGCTCAAAAATGCTAACCATCACGAGACTTCAGCGGGTCGTAATCTTTTTTCTGATGGAGGGTCTTGCCTCGACATTGATGACTGACTGATTAGTGTGTTGGCTACTGAAGGTCTGAGTCGCTGTGGCAATTTCTTAACATAAGACAGCAATGAAGTCTGTCATATTGATGGACTCTGCCTTTCATGAATGACTTCTCTGGAGCCTGCGATGTTCTTTCTTAGCATTTTACCCAAAGGAGAAGTTCTTTCAAAACTGCAGCCAGTCCTTTCAAACCCTGCCACTGCTTTATCAACTAAATTTATGTCACATTGTAAATCCTTTCTTGTCATTTCAACAATCTTCCTAGCATTTTCACCAAGAGGAGATCCCACCTCAAGAAGCCACTTCCTTTGCTCCATTAGAAGCAACGCCTCATCCATTCAAGTTTTATCATGAGATTGAAGCAATTCAGTTTTATCTTTAGCTCCTAATTCTCGTTCTCTTGCTATCTCCAGCACATCTGCAGCTGCATCCCCCACTGAAGTCTGGAACCCCTCAACGTCATCCAGGAGGGCTGGGATCAGCTTCCCCGTCTCCTATTAATTCTGACTGTTATTTTTTTCTTTCTGGTCATGCCGCATGGCTTGCAGGATAGCCTCAAGTCCCAACCACTGAACTGCCAGGGAATTTTCTTAATGTTGATATTTTGATTTCTTCCCATGAAATGCAAACATTCCTAGTAGCATCGAGAATGGTGAATCCTTTCCAGAAGTTTTTCAACTAAATGACTTTGCCCAGATCCATCAGAGGAATCGCCATCTATGGCAGCTACAGCCTTACAAAATGCATTTCTTAAATAAGAAGACTTAAATGTCAAAGTGACCCCTTGGTCTATGGGCTGCAGAACAGATGTGTGGGATAGTATGAAAACATTAGTCGTGCTGGGCACCTACGTCAGAGCTCTTGGATGGCCAGGTGCACCGTCAATGAGCAGTAGTATTATACATGGAATCTTCTTTTCTGAGTAGTAGGTCTCAACACTGGGTTTGATATATTCAGTTAACTATGTTATAAACAGACATGCTGTCACCCAGGTGGAGCAGTCAGAATACACACAACATTTATCAATTAAGTTCACTGTTTTATATAGATTATGATCTGTAGCGCCCCCCACCCCCCAGCTCACATTACAATAGTAACATTAAAGGTCGCTGATCATAGACTGCCATTAACAAATATAATAATAATGAAAAGTTTGAAATTCTGCAAGAATTGACAGAATGTGACAGAGAGATACAAAGTGAGTAAATAGGGTTAGAAAAATGGTGCCAACTGACCTGCTGGACGCAGGGTTGCCAAAAGCCCTCAATTTGTAAAAATTGCAGTATCTGCAAAGCACAATAAAATGAGGTATGCCTATACATTTATTTTGCTTCTTTAATTCATATCCTCTTTAACAACAAACACTGCTTTTTAAAATTTATCTCAAATATGGAATATATTTCAGTGTATTCTGGGTATAAAGAAAATACAGGACTAACCATTTATGTGAAAAAGAGTCAAACAAACTGTAAATGCAATTCTTACCCCATTTTATTCCTCAGAGACACAAATAGTAGCATATAAAAATGCTGCCCTAATAATACCAAAAATACCGTGGCAGATTTAGAGTTAATCAGAAGACTAAGGAGAAAGCAAAAACTCAGACATCCTGCTTGTTATTATCTGCTCACTGCTATCTCAAGAACCTATAATTTCTCTCTAAAAACCCTAAGAGCACATCATATGTAGATCTACGAAATGTATAAACCAAAGAAACTTTAACCTAGAATTTTATTGTTCCTGTAACGTAAGCCTCTCTACCTTCTGTTTATAGAATTGTTTTTAAAAATACAACTATTACCTATATTAAATTTTTCATATTAAAAAAAATAGGCTTTGAGGACTTTTTCTATGTGATTAGGTTTCAGGCTAACGAATAAAGGAAAATCTCCTTTTCAATAAACCATTTCAGAATAAGAATTTTCTCATGGCATTTTAAAAAGTCATTACAATTAGACCTCCTCTGTGGAAGAATTTTTGTAAAACGTCACTTTATTTGACTGGTCCTACCCATCAGTTTAAACAGACTTCATGGTAATTGTTCCAAATCTACGAAGTATCAAATTTCTGTACTTTTCTCCTTATCTCATTATCTTTATAATTTTCTTTAAAAAATATAAGTATGTATTCATTGCATTTGTCATCTGCCAATGTACATAAGCCCCTAAAGTTCTATGTCTACATATTTGGAATACGACTTCGCATAGAAATGAGGTATTAAATGAAATCTACTGACAGCTATGAAATAAACTCTCAAACTAATCACATTTAGAGACAGCATTATGTTATACTAACTTTGCCCTTTATTGTTTTAATAGCTCAAGACTACTTTCAATAATGCCTAAATATATCTGAGGCAAGAAGGAGGAATTATGAAGAAAGAGTTGCATTCTTAGAAGTAGTTCTTAAAGACCTAAGTGCTGGCAACTTCCTTAGCATGAAATTCCTTCTCCTGTATGGTTCGCTTCTTTCTGCCATTTAACTTTCTCTGTTTCCTTAGGTTGAGAATTTTCAAAACGGTTCCCCTTCATCAGAAATGGAAGGTTGACCACTGCAAGATTTAAACTGTTTGTGTCAAACTCTGCTGTCCTTATAAGTGGGGAGAAGAGCTATTCACTAAAAAAAGCCCAAAAGACAAATTTTAATTCAAAGAAAAAAAAGAGTATTCCTTTCTCTGACTAGCATTTTCATCCATCTGTAAGTTCTATACATGTTTATTTGTTTACATTTTTTTCCTGAAAATTAGAAGAAATACTAATAGATGTTTGGAAGAAAATTTCATTATTATCTAATCTATTAGAAAAGATGATACTGACTTTCATAATACAGCGCATTCTTGGAAATCATGAGTCAGATGGTGCTGAAAGGTCAAAATGCACATTATTATTCCAACATTAACCTCTGGGAACATGCTTGGGATACTGTACGCTCTAGCCAGAGTTAATCTGATTGCTTTTAATGTGTCATAAAGTCAAATGATGCCAGAGAAGGCTGTCATGTGAGGAAATACAAACATGCTGAATGATGAGTATGCAAAAATACAAAGTGACAAGTTTCCTTTTTCAGCTAAAGGTAAGTACAATGTAAATAAGTACTGGTCCACCAAATTTACACATTTATTGTGATACTAAATTAAAAAGAATTAAAAAGTTAAATCAAATTGAATATCTGGTCAACTACTATGGATCCCAAACATAAACCATAAATAATAAAAGAGTTTTATGATGTAAATATCTGGTATCTTCTAAAACAACTATCTGAATATGCTTTAACTGTAATTCATAAGGCATGCACACAACTTAAGAAAGAAAGGAAGGAAGAAATATATATATGTGTATATGTGTGTTAGTTGCTCAGTCGTGTCTGACTCTTTGCGATCCCATGGACTGTAGGTGGGAATTCTCCAGGCAAGAATACTGGAGAGGGTTGCCATTCCCTTCTCCAGGGGATCTTCCCGACCCAGGGATCGAACCCTGGTCTCAAGAGTTGCAGGCAGATTCTTTACCATCTGAGCCGCCAGGGAGGCCCATGTATATATAAAGGCATGTACACACATACGTATGTATATATGTATATGCAGTAAAACTGCTATTTAGTCCTAAGTAGTAATGCTGGTTGGGGATTGAAAAATTTCCATCTCAAGGACTTCAGTGTATAAAATAATGTGATCAGCAGCAGGTCAATGCATCTCTGCTAAATGGGTTTGGAAAATAGAGAAATTCGACAAATGCAAACTATGCAAGGCTATTGACAACTACCTGCCTGTCAAGACTATATCTAAGAGTTATTTAGCAAACACAGCCCAATAACTATACAAGGGAATAAAATAAGACCAAGGTCATTAGGGTCTGGGTCCTTTCTCATTTTCTATTTTAAAGAATAAGCAATCTTAAAATGCCATGCTTTCTGATTTTCAAAAGCGGGAGTTTGGATTTATTCAGGTACCAGAGAGACCAACAGTCTGATGCTTTTTTTTTTTAACTCTCACCTTCTCACTAACAAGTCTAAATGAGAACATCACAAAAGCAGACACTGTTATGAACAGAATGAATGACTCACAGGATCCACCCTCTGGACTCCATTACAAAGCCATGGCAAATGTTAGTTATCTGTACATTGTAAGTCTTACTTCCGTGCTCAGAGCCTCCAAAACCTGCACCCAATCTCTGTGTCCTTTTGGGTTCATGTAACCCAGTCTGTTACTCTCAAGGCATAATATCATGCACATAGAAACCTTAATGAAAATTAAAAGCATAATTTGTTCATTAGCTGTTAACAGTGAAACTGCAGAATAAACACTGAACAGAATACAAGTGTCTGTGTTATCAACTTCTGGCAGGAGTGGAACAGAGAGGGGTAGGGATAGAGGGATACTTACCTCTGGTGTCCCAAGAGCATGTTCTCCAGCTAAAAGCAGCATGCTCAGGCCTCCCATTTGAGTAGGATCTAAGTAAGCCAAAAGTAAGTAAATTATCAATTCACAACCATGGAGAACATATAATCCAAAATACTCACAAAGACTAACAATCAGAAATCCAACAGAACCACACATAACTTGTTATAGAAAACTTTTAAACTTTATGAAGTAGTAACTTGGTATATCTATGCTTAGTACTCATACTTCTGTGAGCTTTAAAAAAAACACTGTTGTCCACCATTCCAATGAAATACTTTATTCAGTACCACATCTGTTTATAACATGAATTATCTCCTAGTGCAACGCTTCTTTCCTTACTGCATGGGAAGTTTGGATGAAAAAAACAAAAGAGTGCTTATGTTTGTTTTCTAAGAAATTTGAGATTGTTATTCTCAAATTGTTATTTCTCCCATATGAAATCAGGGCTGATAAAAAGAACCAGGTCATTGGAGGAACTTGAGAACAGAAAGACATTTTACAAATGAGCCACCAAAAATTTAGTGGGCTTTGTTCAAACATTCTTTCTTTAATACTTTTAAAAACCAATCTAAGTTCAACAGTGAAGTATTTCTGACATCTTAAATCTTAGGGGTATAGTCAAGCCCTTCCTTGAAGTATCTTTTAGCAATCAAAATGAACCCTTTTTATACTACTGAAGGTGTTTGTTTTCATTCCTTCAATAATCAACAGAAGTAGAAAGAAAAACTGGTAGATCTATGACCCAGGATTATATCTAAACAAAGAAAATACAGACAATAAGAAACCTATACCCTTTAAGGCTATCTTAAATGAATTACATTTCAGAACTTCAATAAAATAACATATGTGAAAATGCCTAAGTCAATGCTTAACCTCGTGCTTACTGGTGCTCAATAAACACATTTTTTAATTTTAGCAATCTCTTTACAATTAAAAATGAGGATCAGGCATAGTGTTGCCTGAAGACATTCAGGTGCTTCTTTTCTCTTTCTTTTTTGATTTTGTTTAAAGATATGTCCTTAAATCCATCTTTGAATACAAATCTGTCTCAAGAACTCATGAAGCAACTCTGACCACATCTTACAAATGGTCCAACTTTAAAAAAAGAAAAGAATCTGCAGGAGCTTTTTTTTTAAAAAAGAAAGAGCTTAGTAGAAATAAAATATGTCACCAAATGATCAGGTGGTCACAAAATAGCTCCATGTTGGAAGACAGCCTAGTAGGAAGACATGTAGGAACACAGACTGATTTGCTAAAACAAGGCTCTCTGTTGTACAGATTCAATCCTTAATTAAATGTTAAGTTTATGAACTATTGTGGCTGCTAAAACTGACACTTAAATCTATTGGCAAATAAAAATGAGGAGAAATGAACTAGGTGGAAAGTAAAAGTGAACTTTAGTTCTCAGGGCAGCCAGATACTTTTGGAACTGTCATTCCAGAGATAAGAAGGATTGAATAATTGCTTTCTAGTAAAGATAAAAATGTATTAGTTCAAATTACTAAGTAAAATATGAACATACGTCCGTGATAATCTATTTACGTTGTAGACGAATGTGACTTTGCTGTACAGAAAGTAAAACACAGACAAGAAAGTACCATCATCCTTTACATTAATTATATTAACATATACTTAAAACATATGTATATATTATATACATATAACATTACACCTATATAATGTTATTTGGATACTATCAAAACTACATTTATATAACTAGCATGCATTCCCTTCACTCAGAGGACCTGCACGAACTTAAACTCTTTTCCTTTTTGGATATCACACACTGGACGGCTTTGGGGTTATTAAAAAATGCAAAATGTCACGTGACAGGGACTACAGGGAAAACAAAATAAAATTAAATTCCATGTAAGCTTAAACTGGCCTCTAAAAGCCCTACAGCTTCTTCCTCTAGATTTAAACAGCTAAGAACCATGTTTTAATTAACGGCAAATTAGTTTGCTATCATTGTGCTAAAAAGGAACATCAGACCAACGTTATCAGCTATACAGTAGCTTAACAAGGGCTGTGATCATGGATTTCGAACATCCATCACAGGCCCTTACATAATGAGATAAATGTGAGAAAGTTCTTTTCCTTCTTTTCTATATTTTTTTAGAAGAATGCTGTTTTTAAAAGCTGACCTGTAAATATCTTGGTTGAAACCTAGGTCTCAATTTGAATTTGTGGGTATAACAAGTAGACTAATAAACTAACAGAAATAATGCTATAGACAGACATCTTTCATAGCTTTGTGAATAGCCACTGTATGCAAAAACAAAAACAAAAACACAACCTAGAAGGGCTGATCCAGACTTAGAAGTGGTAGAAAAACCAATGGAAGATACATGCTAATCGAAGGAATTCATTTAGAAGCCAGTCAAGATATACTCTGATTTGGTCCTGATGATACAGTATTTTCTAAAAACTCTTACTGACACAATCTGGGGATTCTAGAAGCAGCAAGCAGGTTGAAGCTTAAATTGTACAAAGTAACAGCTGAAACAAGGACAGATCTCTATTCTGATTCCTCTGAGATATGCAAAGCATCACTTTGTAAACTCACCTAGAATTATACCACAGATATTTACATAACAATCACCTGAAGACTGTGTTCCCCCAGAATGGCCATGGCGTCAGACTGCATTTCTTAGATTTACAAGTGACACCACCACATCATTAGATGCCACAAGTCACACACCAAACTGTTAAATCTCATTAGGCCTGCTGGCGATTAAAAAGTGAAGTGTCATCACAATGCTGCTCAACTTCCATTTCCAAGCTTTCTATTTTGCAAACTGTTCAGAACTCCCATTTTGAAGAAAATCTGTTTGTACTAATGACACGGGAACCCTCTAGCTCCAGACCAGTTTCAACGCTTCCATCCTGCCCAGCCTCCCTTACCCATCCTGGAAACTTCTCTTGATTATGGTATTATAATAGCTAGAAGACAGAACCATTTGCAGGGTGAATACAAACACTTTATTTCGTGGTAATAAATGCTGTAACATTCCTGACCACCCAGAGAATATTAAGGGCTCAGAACAAATGGGACCATCTGGAATGTTCAATTTGCCGGGCCAGTAAAGGAATGGGATGGCAATTACCGCTAAACAAACAGCTGTCAGATCCATCCTAGATTTGTGATGGTGCTGTTCATCCTTCTGCCCTCGATGTTTCATATCCTCAAACGATCTGCATAATTGTGGCTTCTTAGGTATGCAACCCAATTAAGGTGCTTACAGTGTGTGTTAGAGGCTCAGCCATGTCCGACTCTTTGCGACCCCATGAGCTGTAGCCCGCCAGGTTCCCGTCCATGGGATTCTCCAGGCAAGAAAACTGGAGTGGGCTGCCATTTCTTCTCCAGAGAAGGTGCTTACAGGGAACAACTTAATAGTGGGCGCGAGTGTGCACGCTATTTTGTTACATTACAAAATCCTTGAGCTCCTGACAGTCTCCACACTGTTGTCTGCTTTTCCATATCACTGTCAGGAATCCGCAGATGTTTACAACAGCTCCACCACTTGGTCTAACCCTCCTTTCTTTAATTATATATATATATATACACATTCTAAAACATGTCATACTCCAGAGCTTTAAGCTATGGTACATTTTTGCCATTACTCCCTATCAGTCATAAATTTTGCTTTTCTCTCCCTCTCTATTACCTGTTAGAAATACTGCCTACATGAACTGCCCTAGTCTTAAAGAACAGGGAAAATTAGCGTTTAAACTCACCGGCCATTCCAAAGTTAAGCTGAGGCATTTCTTCAGCCTTTGTTTTCTTGGGGCTTGGCAAGTCTCTTGAAGAGTCAGATGGGAAGGCCCATAGTTTCTTTCGTGGATTGACAGTGGTAGGTGCTGGGGATTTCACAGGCTTGTTTGTGGTAGGACACCATTTGTAGCCGGGATTTGCTTTCATAAACGCATCTTTATACTATAAATAAAGAACAGACAACATATTTTAATTAACACATAGATTGGCAAGGTTCTAATAGCCTTCACCTTACTCCTCTATTAAGATACTGAATAAAAAAAAAAAAAACACTTCTGTGCCTTTCCTTGTAGAAGAATGACAACCTCTGTACGGGGCTTTAGAGCTAGGACATGAATTTATCTACTAGAACGTTCATTTGAGGGATGAGGGTTCAGAGGCAACAAATTTTGTCTTTCAGCTCTCATTATTCTTTTCTCTTTCCACTATCCAAATTCAGATCTCCGCCTGATCTTGGTGGAGAAAGGGAGTTATCTGTCATGTTATTTGTCATGTGTATCTATTTCAAAGCAGGTATCAGATGCACATTACAAATGTGAGTCAATACCAGGGTAAATAACTAGATTCTGCTCACTGCTTAATTTGGTAAGTTAAAAATTAAAACATGCTTTACTGTACAGGTGAATACAGGCAAATCTTACAGAGCAATGTCATCACTTGTGAGATAAATGAACCAAGATGAAGAGTGGCAAGAGAGCACGGCAGCGCATGATGATGAACTTCTCAGTTATCTGCAGGGGCATGTAGGAGAGAGTCCCGGACACAGAGTCTGATTACCTGGGTTCAAACCCACCTCTGCTGTGAGTCAGTGGTGGACGTTAAGCAAGTTGTACAACCTTTCTCAGCCCCAATTCCTCCTCAAAGCTACAAAGTGTAACTGCACCTGATCAATCCTAGGGGTTTGCAATGAACGCATGTGATCACTAAAGTAAACGTAAAGAGAGCTGTGATGTGTGAGGTCGCAACTAATCCATCACAACGTGGAGGTTTTCAGCCTACGGTATCTTCTTTTCTCCTTTATTTTTCCATGGTTTTCTCCCTCTTTCCCAACTCTGCCATCCCCTTTCCCGACAATAAAATTAAATAAAATATGTGTATGCTATTCATGTTCTATTACCAAAATTATGTCATTTGATAGAATATATTTTTATGTATTCTTCAATGATTTCGTTATTACTGTTAGATACCTTATTTAATTAATATTATTTGTTCAATCCTATAAAGCTTGCTTTTCAAAATGAATACTGTGTGTAAAATTAATTTAGTATAAGATTGAAACAGCTTTTTAAACTAACCCATTTAAAAAAGAAGTTCCTTTACCCTTAGTGTTAAAACAGTATATCTGATCAAACTAATAAACATCACTTCACTTTAAATCATATAAATGAAAATTGTACTGTAGACAACATAATGCAAAGTTAGTAGTCAATGGTTTAGTATTGCCGCCCAGAATTACCTTTGATTCAAATTTTCTGAATAATCTTTTTGCTGTTGTTAAACTAAAAGCTGTGCATCTGCATACTGATATATAGGTACATGCGGAAGGAAGATACAGTAAGATGAGTTCTACTTTTCTTACAAAAATAATTAAAATGGGATACCAAGGCCAGACCCAAACCAGAACTTATCATCACACAGCAGAATAAATTTGGGGGTATCACCATTACACGCCAGTCAGGATGGCTGCTATCCAAAAGACTACAAGCAATAAATGCTGGAGAGGGTGTGGAGAAAAGGGAACCCTCTTACACTGTTGGTGGGAATGCAAATTAGTACAGCCACTATGGAGAACAGTGTGGAGATTCCTTAAAAAACTGGAAACAGAACTGCCATATGAGCCAGCAATCCCACTTCTGGGCATACACACCGAGGAGACCAGATCTGAAAGAGACACGTGCACCCCAATGTTCATCGCAGCACTGTTTATAATAGCCAGGACATGGAAGCAACCTAGATGCCCATCAGCAGATGAGTGGATAAGGAAGCTGTGGTACATATACACCATGGAATATTACTCAGCCATTAAAAAGAATTCATTTGAATCAGTTCTAATGAGATGGATGAAACTGGAGACCATTATACAGAGTGAAGTAAGCCAGAAAGATAAAGACCATTACAGTATACTAACGCATATATATGGAATTTAGAAAGATGGTAACGATAACCCTATATGCAAAACAGAAAAAGAGACACAGATGTACAGAACAGACTTTTGGACTCTGTGGGAGAAGGCGAGGGTGGGATGTTTCAAGAGAACAGCATCGAAACATGTATATTATCTAGGGTGAAACAGATCACCAGCCCAGGTTGGATGCATGAGACAAGTGCTCGGGGCTGGTGCACTGGGAAGACCCAGAGGGATCGGGTGCAGAGGGAGGTGGGAGGGGGGATCGGGATGGGGAATACATGTAACTCCATGGCTGATTCATGTCAATGTATGACAAAAACCACTACAATACTGTAAAGTAATTAGCCTCCAACTAATAAAAATAAATGAAAAAAAAAATTGGGGGGTATCAATCGAAAGTAAGAGGTACTCTATACAAACACATTCACATGCATGAGAGGGATTTACATGTTTGTAAAGCTGAGGCAGACAAACAGTTTCGCTTGCTGTCTAGAGGTGGAAAGTGACAAATGAAACGGTGAGATGAAAACCAAAGTAGCAGACACCATGCATCATCATTCTGTCCCAGCAAAAGGCACACAAGCTGCAACAGTAGGATGAACAGTCATTTGAATAAAAGTCACCACTCTATAAAGTAACAAAGGACTATCAAAGTAACGTATCTGTCACAAGACATTTAAAAGAAAGTTTTTGATACTTCTGGTGTTTTTTTTTTTTAAGAAAAAGTCCCAACTGTGAAAGATCCTAGATGGATGGATGTCACTAGATTTCAGATTTCCTCTGCTTCCAGGTGTCACCTTCTTCCCTTCCTATGTCGTCAATCTGCTAGATACTATAGTTCTTTCCCAGGAAATATTATATCCTTTTCTAAGAATCACTTACCAATTTGCTTTGATGAAAATCTGCATGTGCAATGAAAACAACTATACTGTCATTCTTATGAATGAATTATTACCAGCATTGACTATTCTTAAAAGCACTGATGGTATTAATAAGGGCTAGCTTAAACTAACTTATGATATGCAGTTGTGCTGAAGACAACGTAAAGCGGTGACAATCACTGACCATAAACATCTCTTTCTCTTGCACTTATTTTACCTGCTCAGTCACCTCCATCTCCAATACTTTATAAGGACTAGATGACAGACACTGGTTAAACACGGGGCATGAAAAGAGCATGAATTAGTCTCTGTTTTCAAATTGATTGCAATCCACAATCAGCCACTCAAACATATCACTTCTTTTAATACACGTTCCACACCCCTTCCCCTGGCTGCAGCATGATACTGTTTTTCAGTGGGTCTGTGAGAAGTGGACCATAAAGAAGGCTGAGTGCCAACAAATTGATGCATTTGGACTGGGGTGCTGGAGAAGACTCGAGAGTCCCTTGGACCGCAAGGAGATCCAACCAGTCAATTCTAAAGGAAATCAACCCTGAATATTCATTGGAAGGACTGATAGTGAAGCTGAAGCTCTAATACTTTGGCCACCTGATGTGAAGAGCTAACTCACTGGAAAATTTCCTAATGGTGGGAAAGACAGGGTGAGATGGTTGGATGGCATCACAGACTCAATGGACATGAGTCTGAGTAAACTCCTGGAGATAGTGAAGGACAAGGAAGCCTGGTATGCTGTAGTTCATGGGGTTGCAAAGAGTCAGACACGACTTACCAACTGAACAACAACTACTGAAGCTACCTATGTGCAGGACAAATGGCAGACAGGCCTGGAGTATGTGGGGTTTTATGGAAAATGGAAACTGAGAATTCAGTATGAGGATCAATACTATGTAAATGAACCACAATATTAATCTTGTATATTCTTAAACGCAATGTAAAATGAGACAGCAAAGGGTTAAGAACGAAGGAGACAAGAGAAGAACAAACAGCCCTTGTCCTTACGGAGTTTAGAGCTTAGATGGAGAAGCCATAAATTCAGGAATGGACAGACAGGCCGGCACAGGCAGTGCATGAACCCCAAGTGGGGGTGGAAGCAGGAGGGTGTCCGTCCTGGGGGCCCAGCACACCATCAATCACTGGTTCTGATGCAGCTATAGGAGACAACAGAAAGGCTGAATCATTTGTTGTGACGAGGTTATTAGGAGAGGGATTACAGAGAAAGCTGAGTAAGGGAGAAATCAGAAACGGCTATATATAGTCTGAAGCAAACAGCTGAGTGAAACTATTAGCACGCTGGTCAACCATGTGGGCAAAAATCCATCAGCACAAGACTGAAAGGACCAAAGAGACAGGCCCACTCATCTGGATCCCAAGGGAGGGCTTTCCTGCTGGGGGTACAGGGGGAAGCTCAGTTATCCTTCACAAACATCAATCACAGGCTATTGGTCCTATCCCCGAGGTAACTAACCTCTTGCTATAATTCTTATTTTCAAACATCTCCCAATAAAATAAAAACTCCCTTACTAAATTCTTTTTTATTTTGCAAATTTCTAACTAATTAGATAACCTAAGTGAGTCGACTTTATAGGCACAGTTCCTGACTTACAGAAGGTGCTTATTAGTAAATGTTGGCCCTCCTCTCTCCAATCTCAACCACCACCAGACTTCATTAGCAATGATAATACACCACTGCTATTCAGTAATGATATTAAATACATATCCTTGATGCAGTATTTGGTCTACTTTATATATGACAATGGCATTAATATAAACCAAAAGACAGTATTATGTTAACCTTTAAAAAACTGGTTCTCAAAATTACTTTCACAGATCATTAATAAGAATGGGAAATTTGATCTTAGAAAGCATCTTAAGGAAAGGTGTGCTTATTAATTGTTCTCCAGGTATTTGTTGTTAATTGGAGGTGGGGCGGGAAGGCTGGCTCAAAAAGTCCGACAGTATTTCTTGCAGTCTAGCTCTTCTCAACAGAGAGAGAGTGATGCCCTTGTTGAGGCACAGTGATCAGGGACCCTAGGAATATCTGTACAGATAGAGAGAGCTGATACTGGTGCAAATATGTGAGATACCACCATGATAAAAAACTAATCTACCACAATTATACGAGATTATTCAGC